CACTGTGGTATGCACAGCTCCCACACAGGCTCCTCCAGGGCCCGCCTTTGGGATAGGTTTTTTTTTTTTGTTTGTTTGTTTTCCCAGTGCTCAGATCTATTTGTGGGGAGCGACACGTGCTGGGAACCCGGTGGGGTTTCTTTGTTTTTCTGGGTCGGCTGTATTTTTTTGCTGAGTTCATTTTGTTGTTCTCAGTTTTGCCTGTTTCGTTTCGGCACTCCCACTGGCATGGTTTTGTCTGTTTCGTTTCAGCATCCCTATTCTCTTGTCGCGTAGTGGGGACACCTCTGTTGTATCAGCAGAGGAGCATGGACGTCTTGTAGGGACCTAGGCAGACCGTTTTGAGGCCAGGATTTCAGGACCAGGATTGGCCAGGATTTCAGGACCAGGATTTGGGTCTGGCCTCGATCGTTGATCGACATTACGACCGACAACCCAGGAGGCAGACCAGTGCAGGATTTAGTAGGCCCAGTGCTATATATGGCTGGGGCAGTCTCCATTTGCGACACACAGTGTTTTGTGAGTACCCTGGCGTGTGATCCCCGACATCGGTTGAGGGTTCAACCTACTGATGAGTCGGTGAAACTCCGACGAAGCAGTTTGTCACAACCCCTCATTTGTTGTCCTCTTCTCCCTCTGCCAGGAGTCGTACCCAAGCAATCATGCACTCAGACCGGCACACAGGAGGAACCAGCAAGCACGCACGCGCACAGACTTAGAAATCTCAGCAGAAAGTAGGAATCTCAGCAAGGTGCACATTCCAGCTGCAAAACTCAGAAATGAGCAGAGTTCTCATTCTGTGATTTTGTCACAGGTACTTTGAGGTGGGCACCAACCACTGCCCTTAAGGTACCTGTGACTAAAATCAAAGCACACTATCACTCACCGACACTAGATGGAAAACTCTACAGACTGCAGCTGCACACCCCATCAAAAGACCCACGAAAATCATCGATGCTTAACCACAACCAGGGTTAAGGTGGATTTTCACTTACAGTGTAACAGTTAGGGGATTCTGCAGACTGTTGAGGGTTCAACTTCCTGACGAGTCGGTGAAATTCCAACGAAACAGATTGTCAGAGCCCCTCATTTGTTGTCCTCTTCTCCCTCTTCTCCGTTTTTTCTTCTTTGAAAATACGCGTATCTATCTGTCTGTCTATCTATATATCTATCTATATATCTATCTATCTATCTATCTATCTATCTATCTATCTATCTATCTATCTAGATAGATAGATAGATAGATAGATAGATACACGTATTTTCAAAGAAGAAAAGAGAATGGACTTTTTTTTCCTGAAGTTTGGAATTTCAAGCAGGCAGTCATTGTGCACTGAGGCAAATCTTTTTCACCGCCGGCACCGTTCAAAATTCCATACTCATGGGGGGATGTGGCATAATTGATGGTGGTGGTTTTGCTTATTTCCTTTTCTTGCTTTTTGAAGGACGACGGCCTTGGGGTATCTTCATTGATCGGACGGGCCCTACCGGTAGGTAATTCAGAACGATTTATTTCATTCATCATGATCCAGCAGGAATTGAACTTATCTGTATTTCAACAGTTCATCGATGTACCAACTGAGCTAGGCTCGTAGGTTTTCGCTTTTTTCCGATTGATACTGCTGGCTTTTTACTTTCCTATGTTCATGGACTGCATCTGTGAACTCTCACTGCTCAACAACAACAACTAAAAAAAAAAAAAAAAAAAAAAAAAAAAAAAAAAAAAAAGACATGACATTTGCAAGGAAAATGAGCGATAGTGAACGACAGAATTCCAGAATGCAAGATCACAGTGAAAGCCAGATAGTCTACAGCTGTCCATAAAGCAGAAAAGCACTGATATTTCACCAACGGAGAACCCAAGCACTGAAATCCAAATATCAATGAGAGCATCCTCTCGCCACCACCAACATACGTATCCAGAGCCCTTTCTCCTACTTGGCGCTCAGCGCCCACACTACAACCACACAACTACTCATCCAGCCTACAAATTGACAATGCAACGGGTTGACGTCAGCAGCAGCCACCGAAGTACTTGCAAATGTCAACCATGCAGACCATCGCCAAGACCAGGTACGTGCGCTCACATCCAATCCCTCATCTCTCATTCACCCGCTCACCCTCGTCTTCTACACCCACGTCTTCCCTACCACGAGAACCACCGCCATACCCTGCTGACCACATCCAAGCCGGAGCCGGGCTATGGGGGCTCAGTTATGGTGCTGCCTCTAGCAGCACCTTCCTACCACTTTTTTTTTTTTTTTTTTTTTTAATATTTATTTTAAAACCAAACCAAATCATTCATTCCAAATTAAGTGTCGAGGCCGGGGACCTCACAATTCAACCCGGTGGTTACTGACAGCATCAGCCAGCTTAGCTTACAGGCTAGGCCTGCAGGAAGTCTGCTACAGACTTTCCCAATTCCTACTTTCTGAACTGTAGATGGTGGAAATGAGCAGTACTTCTATGCTAAAAACACCATAGACCTCTAAACAGTCCCATCACGGGAAAAATAATCATTGATGAATACACGACGTTGAAAGTAAACCAGATTGAACAAGCAGACTTAAATACCTGACCCTAGGCTGTGACCATGTGGGACTAAGCCGGCCCACTGGACACCCACCTACCCTACTCTCAGACACTCGCCTAGAGGTCTACTGCGACCCTAAGGAACCGAGTGCCCTGGTTGGACGAAAAAAACGGTGGGGGACTAACCTACAGCGAAAATCCTTCAGCTCAATCCTCAGGGAGGGTCGAACAACCACTTGGACAGGACAAACCCTCTTGACCTATGCACTCCGGCCAGTCTGTTTTCCACCGCCCAGGTTCTCAAAAACCACCACAGTCTGGGCCTGGATGCAGAACCTTTCTTGGCCCGTCTTCTCCAGTCAATAACTTCTTCTTCTTTTTTTTTTTTTTTTTTTTTTTTTTATTAATCAAACAGCTCCATCTATTGGTGGGGAGCAACACCTGCTGGAAACCGGGTCCAGCGTCCCATAGATACAACCATATCCTCTTAATTTGGCACCAACTGGGAACCGGGCCCAGCATCCCATCATCAGAAAATTTCATGAATTTAGATAAGGAACTACTGGAAGAATCCAAACAGTAACCTCACGACCGTGCTGTGCGTTCCCCGCACAGTGCTACAGTAGCAGCCTAGCAAGCAGCAGGTGCGAGCGTTCCCTCTAGCAGCCCTGCCGCATGAACAAGCCAGTGCCCTAATGCTTCCTCCAGCCCAGCACTTTCCTACATGGAAAGTGACTGGGCTTTTCCCTCTCCGGCCTCGTGCGTCCGAGTTTCCAGTGCATCCGAGTTTCCAGTAGCTTCCGATTGGGCCAAAGTATCTGCGCCCAGGCCCACTCAGATAGTGGGCTGGGACCGAATTGGTTAGGCCAACCCAACCACCCAGGTGTAAACCTGAGGCTCTCTCCGCGTGCTTGGCCTCTGCTGCTGGAAGAGAAGGCTCACGAACATTTGTGATTCTCACGAGCAGAGAGGATGTAACCAACAGGCTGGTGTCAACTGTCTGGCGCCCACCCAGACTTTGGAAAATTAATGAATTCAGGCCTCCATGAGATTCAGGGCCCTGCTTAGGGCGGGCACATATTTTGTTGCAGGGGCCCCTCAAGACTATACCCAGGGTGTAAATCCTCAGACATTGACTAATCTCTCGATTTAATCCAGCGGCCTAACTCAGTTGGGAAGGCACTCAAGTGGCATTCAGGAGGTATCATAGGGTTCAATCCCCATTGGCCTCATGTACCTTCCAGTGGCATTGAGGAGGTATCGGGTTCAATCCCCTCACGTACCTTCCTGGGCATGCTTGGCGCCCACCACCTTGGTCCCCCCAATTCAGGCCTCCATGAGATTCAGGGGCCCGCTTAGGGCGGGCCACATATTTTGTTGCAGGGGCCCCTCATGACTATACCCAGGATGTATATCCTCAGACATTGACTAATCTCTCGATTTAATCCAGCGGCCTAACTCAGTTGGGAAGTCACTCAAGTGGCATTCAGGAGGTCTCGGGTTCAATCCCCATTGGCCTCATGTACCTCCTGGGGATGCTTGGCGCCCACCACCTTGGTCCCCCCAATTGGCGTTTAAAAAGCAGTCTCTGCTGATGTCCATAGAGGGGAGGGGTAATCGGGGAGGCACAGATGATGCTCGGTCCCTCTGCTACCAGCTGTCCCCTGGCCGAAGGCAATAAATAAAGGGCACCCTGGGTTGAAAAGGTCACCCGGTGGCAGATTAGACGCAAGATTGAATTGAATTTACCTGGGCTGGTTAGTTCGATGATAATACCTCAAGGCAATCGCCCTAAAAAAGAGCAATAATAATAATAAAAATCTCGATTTATGCATGTCATCCTTGCTCAGGACCCATTTGCTAATTTACCCTTCTCTGTCTCGTTCCAATTTTAACAGCTGTCCCGAAGGACACATCGACTGATCTCATCGGTTGTTTGATGGACTCGCAGATCGATTTGATTTATTGATGGATTTTATCGGATTTTTTTTTCTTTAATGTTGGGAAGGTTTTACCGATTGATTGATGGATGGATTGATTTGATTTGATTTTTTTTTTTTTTTTTTATAGTGATTTATGATTTTTTTTTATTGAAATGCTCCTAAAAAGGCGGGTATTTCGTCAGAGACCGCTACAACACACGGGGTACGACGAAATGCCCCAAACTTTTGCATATGCCCATGTCCAGGCCATGCGCAATTTCGTCATATGCCCCTGGCTTTGGACTGCAGGGGGACACTTCTTTTGCCAAAGGGTCCTCAACAGCCAGAAATACTGGGGGATATGGAGAAGTTGCACAGGGCCCGGTAGGGGTATATGCACAAGATGGCCGATCCAATTGATTTATTGATTTGGTTGATTCATAGATTGACGGATTTTTATTCCTGTGATTGGATTTGATTGATTGATTGACTGATTGTTGTATGATCTCAGGGCTCGCATGCTGTGAATCCCAAGGCTTACTTGGTTGCTGATGCAAATCAGATGATAACGATTTTGGGTATTTTTCAACAAGCAGCCAATTGTTGGATGTGAAGAAGGGTTTCAAGTGAAGGTACGGGTGGCTTTCAGAACTCATCTCTCTTGTCCCGTTTTCCTGCTGCCCTCCCGCCTCGCGCCTCGCTCAATTCTTGCAACTGTTGCCTTTCCTCCTCCTCCTTCCTCTTCGTTCTTAGCCCTATTTTTCTCCGTCCTTTTCCGCTCCCTCATTACCTTCCTGTGCCTTTTCTCCCCCTTTTCTTCCCCACCCCCACCCTCTTTCTCTCTTGCTTTTCTTGCATATCTCTCCCCTTGCCTCCTTCCTCGCCTCTTGCCTCGATCGCCTCCCATCCACCTCCTTTTCGTCTTTTCTCCTCCCTTGTCGTCTTCTCTCCTTTCGCACTTGTCTCCACCACCTCTTCAACTCCCTCTTCCTCGTCGCCCTTTTTGCATTCCAATCCTCCTTCCCTCCTTCCCTCCTTCCCTCTTCTCCTCGTCTCCTCGTCTCCTCGCCTCCTCCTCTCCTCTCCCCTCTCCCGTCTCCCCTCTCCCCTCTCTCTACTCCCATC